GCTCGTAAATACTCAAAGAGAGGAATTCGTATGTACTGAGACAAAGGTTTCTCCATTTTTTTCTGCCGAAAATGGGTGCTTCAATATCACAGAAAGGGCGTTATGTGCTAATCTCTTTGTTTTTCTTGACAGGAATATGTTGCCAGAGAATATTGTTCGATCAACGTTCCAGCAGCAGCAGACGGTCTATGTGTCAGTAAATGCCTCAGACGGGTCACTGATGCACAAGCGTCGTGTAGAGTATTCGGACGGAATGAACGTCTTAGGTAAGTAAGTCATTTATGTGGTTGACAATGCTGACAATGCTGACGTACTCTCAAATCCTTGGGCCAGCTAAACAACAGTCAATGTCGTCGGTATCAGTCTGGGCGGATTTAGAAGGGGCGGATTGAACTCAGCTCCTGCCGCCTTGTTCTACCAATGATGTTAGTGATAGGTTCAGGACGAAACCAACCAAACAACCAACAACAATCAAAACAGACACCGCGTATGAGAGTTCACTATCTCTCTTGAAGTGATTGCGACGATATCAACTGTACATGACCCGCGCCGGAATAACTACTCTTCCTTGCGCTACCAAAGCAGGGTTTCTGTAAGATTTCTTCCGATCCCAAACCGTTTGACTTCAAGGAAAAAATTAAAAATCCACAGAAAATTTTGATGTTTCCACGTCAGGAGGCCGAATTCACGAGCAAGTGAACCAGTCGCCAGTGCTGAACGAATTCCCGCAACGAGCTAGAAACTATCACAGTGTGGATGATTTGGGCTCCGACCTTACAGCTGCTTGTGAATTCCTTCTTCTTACTTTTGATACATTCGCGGCGAGGCCATCTAACTAAAACTCCCGTTTGTCGTTCAGCGTGTTTGCGGCGCACGACAAACCCCGTGAGCTCCAATTTTCGCTTTTTTGGCATTTCTATCATGTATTTCTCTCTAAACAAGTTTTCGCGCAAAACGTAGGTTTTAGTACTCGTTACGGTCAATTGTAATCGGATTGGGAAGATTTCTACTGGAAATTGTGTATACAAATAGTAATGTAAGTACAATAGTACACAAATAATAATACGAACATTTGTTAAGTGTTTGTAATTTTTGTCCCATTTTTCTAGGAATTTTCTCCCTTTTTTACTCTTAAAGGAATTTATTTTGATGCGGGAAGTTATTTGGAGACTAGGTCATCCAAATCAACTTCCTCATCAAGATAAGCTTCTTTTATTTTGATGAGGAAGTTGA